CACAAATCATGAGCTCCTGTTAAACGTCACTGCATGTGATATTGAGCAACCATTACTGGAGTTGATTTCAATATCAATATCGAGCAGTCAGTGTTGAGCTCTGGAGATATTTGGAGGCTGTCACCAGTTGATAAATGGGGTGTTTTGATTCCTGTCATTAACTTAAGAGATAATAAACGGTGCAGAGGGCTATTGGCATTGATCCGTGTGGGACAATCTGAAGGAATTATTTCCTGTTGTTTGACTCACACAACACAAATTCATCGATTTAGGTGCCGACACTATTAATGAGAATTTCCATCTCTATTCTTTCTCTAGCATACGCTATCGGTCAAAAGTCTGGAACAATTAAGATTTTTTATTGTTTAAAAGAAGTCTCTTGTGCTCACCAAGACTTCATTTATTTGATCAAAAATACAGTAAAAATACTAATATTGTAAATACAGTAAAAATACTAATATTGTAAAATAGTATTAGAATGTAATGTTGAAAACTTTTTAAAATGCAATTTGTTAGTATTTCTGTGGAAATCATACAGTAATGTACTACCACTCAAAAGTTTGGGGTGAGCAAATGAATAGTTTTAATCCGCAATAATGCATTAAATTGGTCAAAAGTGAAATCTATAATGTTACAAAAATTGATTTTTCAAAGAATTCTGAAAAATGTTTCACAATTTCCACAAAAAATATTAAGCAACAAAATCTGTTTTCAACATTAATATAAAAAGAAACATTATCATAATTATGCTGATTTGTGGATCAATTATTAATGGATTCTGAAGGATCATTTGACACTGGATTTGACTGGATTAATGATGCTGAAAATTCAGCCTTGCATCACAGGAGCAAGTTACAGTTTAAAATATATTAAATAGAATACAGTTGTTTTATGTACTGTTCTCTGTATCTTTGATCAAATAAATGCAGCCTTTTTGAGTGTAAGAGACTTTCAAAAACATTTTTGAAACAAAATCAGAATTATCCCAAACTTGACCAGTAGTGTATTTTCTCGGTTTTCATCTGTTGTATTGAACACACTTTTTCTGATGTAAATGCAATAAATTATGGTCTGGATTCATTAAGCCAAATTCACAAAGAAATGTAGATTCCGTTATGAAGGCGGAAAAAACAGAGATAATAATGTTTAATAGTTACTAATGAGAAAAAAAAAAAAATCCAAAAATAGGTTTGGTATGCCAACCAGGGACTCGTCTGGGACTTTTGGAATCAGCTAGAAACAGCATTTTACTTGCCACTGTCTTGTATCTAATGAATTATTCAAGCTTGAGCATGTTTCCTGATGTGAGTCCATTTTCTAGATTGTTGCTGGGACAGTCCTGAGCTCCAGTGCTCACACTGTGAGCAGAGTTTCCCTGCACGCTCTTTCCTGTAATGAGCTGCTGGGTAGAGTGAATGAATGCTGAAAAAGCGGCTTGAAACTCTTTGACTGTGTGCAATGGTTTCTGATTCATGATGTCATAAAGGGCCACTTCAGGCAATTACACATGCATTAGCCCACGCAGCACAGGAAACAGCCCTCCGCTCGCACTCAGGGCTCCGCTTACCGCAGCCTCTCTCCCGCAATTGCCGGAAATTAACTTTGTTTTAACAGGCGTCAAATCCATTTGGAAAACAATTGATCAAATTCACCTAACAGCTGGATTGGCTGAAGTCATTTGCAGTCAACATTAACAGCAAGTCTACTGTATTATCTAGACCAGGGGTCTCAAATTACAGTCCACGGGCCATATCCTGCACCTGAAGTTGATCGTTTATCTTTACAAAAAAACAAAACAAAAAAGTATGTTTTAATTCACTGCAACTTCTCCAGCCAATTTATTTATCCAGCACTAAAGTGCATGTTAATTGCTAATAAATGAAAATGTACTATAGTATAAATGTATAATTAATGTAGTTATCTGGACTTAGAGTGCGTTTTTGACTTAAAGGGTTAGTTCACCCAAAAATGAAAATTAGGCTGCGTTTTACTCACCCCCGAGGCATCCTAGGTGTATATGACTTTCTTCTTTCAGACGAATCCAGTCGGACGGATAATAAAAAAATGCCACTCAGCGGGTGTTGCATTGCTTCAGTCCAAAAGAACTTAAATAAAAATCACCTATCCATAAAAAAAGTGTCTCACACGGCTCCTGGGGGGGTGAACAAAGGCCTTCTGTTGCGAATCGATGCGTTTTTGTAAGAAAAATATCCATATTCAAAACATAATAATCACTTGAATCTAGCTTGCGCTCACTGTTGTAAACAGAAGCAGTTCCGGGGGAATGACGTATGAGGTCGGCGTTGCGCATGCGCCGCTCAGAAGTAACGCAAGCGGAAACGCAGGGGAGAGATCAAAACAAAACAACGGTCAAGAATTAGAAGTACAAAACGAGTATTTGTAAAGAAGAATGTCAGAGGATTTCGATATAAGCCAAGAGGAGACTGCTGATATTTCAGGAGATTTGTTTTCCTTTGCTAAAGTAAGGAAACTTTGCAGAATATGTTGACATGCTTTAATGTTCAAAAAACACATTTTTCAAATACTGTACATTATTGTAGGTCCTCTATGCCCCGCCTCTCTCAAACACGTCGTTTTCAACAAAGTCCCCTCCTTTGACAAGCGCAGTCTGCTCTGATTGGCCAGCTGACCCAGTGCATTGTGATTGGCCGAACACAAATCTTCCCACACAGTGACGTAGACATGTGGGGGCGTGTTAGAACGAGCCGTTTTAGGTTTCATGGCTGACTCTTAACTTTTATAAAGAATATCTCTTTGGATTTGAGACTTTAGTCTTTGCAACTTTACAGATCTTCTTTATGCACCAAGAGCTTGTAACACTTCATACAGGAAGGAAACCTTGAAATCGCATCATATGACCCCTTTAAAGTTAAAACGACTTCAAGTTTAATTTGTTTCTTACAAACACAGCTTATCACAAGACATTAATTGATGGACTGGAGTCTGGAGTGGTGTGGATTACTTGTGTATCATTATGATGTTTTTATCAGCTTTTTGGACTCTCGTTCTGACGGCACCCATTCACCGCAGAGGATCCATTGGTGAGCAAGTGACGCTAGTTGTCTCCAAATCTGTTACGATGAAGAAACAAACTTATCTACATCTTGGATGGTTTGAGGCCTCTGGGTGAAATATTCCTTTAATGTAATTTTATTGAAATTTGCATGTTATGTATTTAAATATATTTGTAATCACACATTTTCAAAGATGAAGTTACAGTTTAGTGCATTTTAAATATATTAAAATATAAGTTTCAATGTAACATCAAATAATAAAATACAGTTAAATTTATAATCAAGCACGTCATGTAATTTAGTATGTTAGTCAGCAAATCAAAATGTGTAAGTTTATAAAAACAATTATTTGAAATTTACTTTTTAAGTGTACTTAATTGTGTTAACAGTCATGACAATGTACTTTAAGTACACTTAAAGCGGTGGCCAAAATTATTAGAACACTTGGCATATTTAAGAGGTTTTAGTTGTTTTTGTTGAATTCTCCATTACAATACCCATAAAACAAACTATTTCTGCTGGAACATTGAAAATGATGGACTGGCCCCCTCAAAGTCCGGACCTCAAACCCATCGTAAGCACGCGTCGGAAATGTAACGCCCCTTAACATAATCACTTCAGCTTTCAAAGTAAATATCAAGACAGTTAATAATGTCGTTAGTTTTACCATCAGTTCAAGCCCGAAAGGGCGCTGGAACATTGAAAATGATGGACTGGCCCCCTCAAAGTCCGGACCTCAAACCCATCGAGGAATTTTGGGGCGAATTGGAAAATAAACTGGACAGAACTATTGTACATTCAAAGGAAAGCCTTTGGCTTGAGTTGCAGAAGGCATGGGATAACATTAGTGTTGAAGTTCTCAGGAAATATAATGACACTATGCCATAGAGATGTGCTGCTGTTATTGCTGCAAAAGGTGGACGTACCAAATACTAAAGTTAAAAGTGAATAAAAACAGTACGACTCACTTCATCTGATATTTGTTGTGCTCAGAGCAACCATCTGCATGTTTCATGAACATTATGAAATGAAATCATGTTTTGGAGGCAAAAAAGGTCAACATTTTCAGATATGTCAGGTGTTCTAATAATTTTGGCCACCACTGTAAATGTCCTTATATAAGATTTGAAGTACAAGTGCACATTCAATACAATACATTCATTTTTTTTTTTTTTTGTATGACTAAAGAAACTGACTAATATTATGTTGTTGTTTTTATGATTAACCTGACAGATCTGGTCTATGAACAGTTGTTATAAAGAGCTATGTCGAAAAATCCCCCTTTTTTGGGATAAAATTCTCTTTTAGCACACTTCTTTGTGAGATTAGTGTGGAGGAGGAGAAAAAAAATGTGACAAGGTAATGCTTTTTTCTTATCAGCACTGCCCTGCATTGTAGACCTCCTAACTATGAGTCACCAGTGAATCCTACAACAAACTGAAAGATAGGACAAAGCAACGTGTGACTCACACACAAGAACTTTGACAAACTATAGAAACAGGGAGAATTTATTTAAAGCACTTTGTCCCCTACATAGAAAAATATGATTGATTTAAGTCAACAATAATAAATACAGTACCTGTATTCTTGCAGGCCCCGCTGATGCGTACAGTAGTACAATCAATATCCAGTTTTCGCAACACAGCAAAGGCACGGGTATTTACCGTAAATCTGCAGTCTGATGGAGCGGAAGGGCATGGGTGGTGTGTGAGGGGTCAACTCAATATGACCTGGAGGAGCGTTTCTTTATAAAGACGGGACACATTGGGAATTACATTGCGACTGGTACAATGGATCGTACAACCTTTCATGTATTTTTTTTTTTTTTTTTTTTTTTTTTAAAAAAAAATTTTTGGTTTGAATTGTAATAATGTTTTAAAATATCACTATTTTTACTGTGTTTTTGATTAAATAATTGCAGCCTTGGTGAGCATTTTTACTTGTTTTGAATGCATTAGAAAATTGATACATCTTTGAGTTACTGATGCTGAATTGGACATTGGATTCTTATTTCAGGGCTGACCAGAATGTGACATTTTACAAGATAAATATTTGTTTTCAATAACAGGAAGTGTCAACAAATATTCATTCAGTCAACGGATGCCTCCTTTTTTTTAATGGTCCCTTGGGTGGATCTCAATGCAAATGTACATATAGTCATGTTTTTGTAACAGTATGTAGTGCAATTTTTTTTTTTTTTTGAAAAGTGAGAAAAGTGATTTGAGTTCAGGGCAGGAAAGCGTCCTGGTGTACACTGTTTAAGCACGTCATAATATGCGCCATTTGTTATGTGACAATTCTAAACGCAGCAGTTAAACACACTGATCATTTCTCACCGAAACCTCGCACCCCTATCGAGCATTCAACCTCGCTACAAGCAAATCAGTGTTTCTAAATTAAAAAATAATGCGATTTTCGATTCTATATAGTAAAACATACGTAGGCTGTAGGTTGTTTTGTCTTCATTAAAAAACAAAGAAAAATATTTTTAAATATTTTAAATATCCGTGAAATTATAAGGCTTAAAAGTCCCTCGTCTTGATGGCCTCCCCACACTTCAGTCCAGCAGAAGAGTCTTTGGAAAGCTCATTCAGTTATCGTCCTTTCGATACTCCATCGAATGGTTTCAGATGGTTCAAAGCTGCGTAGCGCCATGGACCGCTAGCCGTAGATCTTTAGTGAAGAAAAAGCCCTGATTGTCAAAAAAAAAGGTCTTTATCGTGACCGTTCATTTTAGGCTATAAAGCAAGTGGGTCATCGCAAACGTCTACCAATGTCTTTTGTTGCGCTTTTAAGCAGTTCAAGCATGTTTGGTCGAGTTTTCGCCACCAGTCTGATGTCATTGGTTTTTCACGGTTCTCTGCTGTATGACTTATCAAAAAGAAGAATTAAAGCTTTGATTTCATAGTCTTCAGCAGAGACGTGGGCTTCAGCTTCGTTCCTCTAGACACCGTGACATGTAGCAGAGCAGCATGTTGGCTGTTGAGCCTCAAATGACTAGACCGAGCCATTCTCCTGTGTGCTGAAGTACATTTGAAACAGTGTTTAGATGTTCCTCTGTGCTGTGAGGTACTTGAGAGCAGCAGAACCATACTTCCGAGAAAGGTCTTGGTGGAACTCGTCCTTCAGAGTCGTCAAGCAGTAGCGGTAACTCGGACTGGAGCGAAACTTTGAGATGTCAAAGCTGGGCGCGTGGGGCATGTGGATCATGAAGGCATTTGGTAACACAATAAGATCGTACTCCTTTGGAACGAGGAAATGTGACAGGTTAGGGACACTTGAACTGGTAGTAGAAACATGCCAAATGTCTTTAAAAACTTACCTGAGCATCAAGCTCCATGATATGGGATACTTTGTTCCAGCCAAAGCCAACAAATCTCTGGTCATACTCAGGACAGTCTCGTCGCACCACAACATACGGCTCAAAATCTGCCTCCCACTCCACCTTGTATGGCGTCGTGGCTGTTCTCCACTTGGCATAATTGGTTGGCGCGTGACCCTTTGTCCAGACATGATACCTATAGTTTAGGAGAGCAGTAAATGAATATATTTGAACATTTTGAGTGGACTTTTAATAATGGGCTAAAGACTTCATGCTCATGCTTTAATTGAATATATTTATCATTCAAAAATATATCATCTTTAAACCTCATCTTATATAAAAGGGATTCCAAAACTTTGTTTTTGTTAGATGAACCCCTGGAAGTACTTACTTTTAAGTCAATATTGAAATAATTTAACAACACATTTTCAAGGTTCTCTAATGCTGGCTAATGGGGACACAACATAAAAAAAATGTACAAATTAAATTAAATTAATTAATTAAATAATACAAATTAAGGTAAAATGTTAAAATAAAATATATACATATTTGTATTTTATTTTAACATTTTACAGTTATTTTAATTTTACGATTTAGTTAATTCATATGCTTTTTATTAACTCAGGAAACCTTGCTCTTTATAATGAGCATGTTTTTAATTTCTAAATTAAAATTAAATTTTATATTTTTGGAGCAAAAACTAAAAAATGGCAAGGTGATATGGCTGTCTTGATATCATAATGAAGAAAAAAAGCATTATTAAAAAATTACATTTAATTAAAATGTAATATTTATTATTATCATATATACAGATAAAAACTACTACACTAATTATTGATGTTTGATATTTGTCCATCAAATCAAAGTCATGTGGTTCAGCCAACATGCATAAAAATGCTTAAATAGAAACATAACAGGAAATACAATAAGAAAAGATGACCCCTGTTGAAGTCAACACGTCTCTTAAAATATCAGATAATTTGACATTTGTATGACAAAAAAAAAAAAGGTTAGACCACTTTTTAAAATGTCATGTGGTGTGGCTCCCCAAAAACTCAATTATATTTATAATTATTTTTTTAAATGTTTAAGATGCGTACACTCACATATGTTCAATGTGTAAACAATGTTATTTTGCTTTGCCTTCCTTAAATGGAAAAAATAAATGAATTGAAACATTATAATAAATGAACTGAAAATAAAGGTTTTTCAAAACCACATTTGTAAAAATGTGGCACGTGGGAATTTCTGCAAGAACTTCCCTTTTCTTTACTGGGGACACTCTTATTTGTCATTTACCTTAATATAAATTCTAAACACCCTGGAGATTGATAATGAGATGATTATTTTGAATGTCTACTGTACCTGAAGGTGTAGAGAGTCCCCATGTCCAGCATAGACAGCAGCTCGGCCTTGGATTTGGGGAAGGAGAGGCGATATCTCAGCGTCTCAAAGGCGGGCACAACCAGAGCCTTCTTTGTATTGGCCATGTCCAGTTGGACTATACTTTTTCTAAGTAAAAAAACACAGAGATATATTACAGAATTGGAACCAGTACATTAACAGACCATTCATAAGAAATCCACAGCTTACCTGAGGTAATCGTAGAGGCCGTACATGGGCAGAAAATCCACATCAGTCAGAAAAACGTAGGGTGTGTTGACGTTGCGGAGCGCCACATTGCGTACCAGATTGACAGGGTAGAACTGACCCTCCTTATAGACGATATGATAGCCCACATTTTTGCGGTTCTTGAGGACTTCAGAGGCCTGAGCGTAACGCAGGAACTGCTGGGCCTCGGCATCAGACATGTACAGGGCCAAACTAATGGGGCCCTCCCAGTGTTTACAGATGGCCTCCAGCATCTGCAGTCTGTGGACAGATACAAAGCGTCTCTGGTTACATTCTGGGCAGTAACTGAAGTGAGGCAAGATTATGGGCTCTTTTTGACACATTTTTAAAACCTCCAGGGCAAGCTTTCAGTAGCTAGTATGGGATGCTCTGATCTTCACTACGTCAAGCGCTTCTAGTTGATACTTGTTTCAAACACAAACAAAGCTGCTATCCTGCATAACAATCACCTTTCTGAAAATGCCGGGACTACTTCATGGTAAAACAGAGGCTTCAGTGATATCAAAAAGCTTGTTTTAAATAGCTCAGTGGAAAGACTTAATAGACTCTAGATGGAATATAATAGATTATTATTTTCTTGCTGAAAAGATTATTATTTTCCTACTCTTACTCTCAAACTTACAGACAAAAAGAAAGTAGGACCTTCAGTTAAATACATTTTTAAGTGAATTAAATAAATGACATGGAAATTAATTAATTGAATTAATCACAAAAGCAAAATTTGATATAATTAATTATTGTTTAAATCATTTATTTCATAACAAATCCTTGTCAATCATTCTGTTTGTAAAATATTCGATTTTTGTTTTAATTAACTAATCACATTAAATCAGCAACCCTAAAATCAAGTTGATCTGAAAATAACAAGAGGGTTCAACATGTTTTAAAGCAGTGTTATTTTAGTATTATTTATGTACTATTATGGTTTTTATTCATATTTTAAATGTAATAAAAATATAAAAACTATTAATCATTTAAAATTGTAAGAATTTATTTTTATTTTTTATGCTTTCATTTTTTATTTAAATGTTTCTTATTTTATAATATTTTTCTTATGCGCATTTTCTTATTTGTATTTGTTTATGTTAAATATTACTATTCGGTTTTAATTTATTTTTTATTTTAGTTTTATTTTAATATTTTTTATATACTAAGTTTATAATATAATTCGTTTTTATTCTTATTTTTAAATTAGCTTTATTATTTAAGTTTTAGTTTAAGTTTAGTTAAGTGCTTCCGCTTAAACTAAAAAAATCAGAGATGTTGCATTGGCTACTCAATGAAATCAATTTTTCATCTAATATTTATATTTATTTTATTTCAGCTTCGTTTCAATTAACAAAAACATTTAAAGGGGTCATATGATGCTTTTTTAAAGATCATTATTTTGTGTATTTGGTGTAACAGAATATGTTGACATGCTTTAATGCTCAAAAAACACATTATTTTTCAAATACTGTACATTATTGTAAGTCCTCTATGCCCCGCCTCTCTCAAACGCTTCGTTTTCTACAAAGTCCCTCCTTCCGACAAGCGCAGTCTGCTCTGATTGGCCAGCTGACCCAGTGCATTGTGATTGGCCGAACACCGCAAGCACTCGTCGGAAATGTAACGCCCCTTACCATAATCGCGAGCTTCATCTTTCAAAATAAATGTAAAGACAGTAAATAATGTCATTAGTTTTACCATCAGTTCAAGCCCGAAAGGGGAACAGAGTAGCGTGACAGACACAGTGATGATGCAGTACACAAGCTGCGGTCAAGACAGCTGACTCTACTGTGATGTGACGCTGTCTCTCTCTCTCTCACACACACACACGCGCGCACGCGCACACACATACACACACACACACACACAATGCGCAAAACTCCGCATTTAAACAGTCAATAGCAAATACTTAAACTAATAACAAAACAGTAGCTGATTCAGAAGCGCCAGATAGTCATAGCAAAGTCAGAATTACCTCCTCTCCTAGGTTCACGAAACGGTCGTCCATAAAATGCATTGCTGTTCTGTTGTAAGTAATCTTAAAGATTCCTAAATGCATCTACTTCCGGAAGGCCAAATAAAGTGCTTTTGCTTTCGCCTAGAAACACACAGCATCTCCCTGACATGCTGCTTCAACACTAACTGCGGTTACTGAAACCACGCCTTCTTTCTTTGCGTGCACATTTGGGGGTGCATTATGCAAATATTCCCACAGTGACCTAGATATGTGGAGGCGTGTTAGAACGAGCCGTTTTAGAGGGGCGTGGCAGAGTCTTAACTTTTATAAAGAATATCTCTTTGGTTTTGAGACTTTAGTCTTTGCAACTTTAGGGATCTTATCTATGCACAATCAGCTTGTAACACTCCAAAGAGAAAGGAAAACTTGAAATCGCATCATATGACCCCTTTAACAGTTTTCGTTTTAGTTAACAATGATCGCCCTGTTTTGAAAATGTTATTAACTGGCAATGCTTGTAGTAATCTATTCTCATTTTAATCAGAGTGCTGCACAGGGTTCATTTAACACAACATCATATTTGACAGTTCTGTAATTAAATTGCCTTGGCATGAGCATGAGTGGCCTAAACGTGACGGTAGACTCATTTGGACAGTCTGTCATCCTCACCTGTCCATGGAGAGCTGCGCGACCAGCGTGATGTCCGTGCCGTCATCTGTAGGTGTGTATTCATACTGCAGGAAGTACAGATGCACCCTGTGCACCATGATTCGCTCCCTCCGGAAATCATAGCACTGGTCGTCCTCATCTAACTCCTCTAGTGCTTGCTGAAGCTGGAAACAAAGAAGAATGTGTTTTATCAGCTGTGCTGAGCAGGACACATCAAGCAGGCTCTGGTCGAGTTGCCCTTCGAGACTTTATGAAACACTTTTTCCTTGTACAAATCCAAGGCCGAGCTACTTTTAGACCCTGGGATTCATTACTTATTTAGAATTATCCAGTTTAGGAATATAAATTCTTCTCTATAAAGTAAAGGTATTGAGGTCTGCAGTTTCAAGGTGCTGGAAGCCACGCCCCATTTTTCAAAAACTCCACCCACCATATACAGAGCAGAGCAGAGGCACAGGTAGGGAAAATAAAAAAGAAGTGCCATCTGATTATCAGTAAACCTGAACAGTGAGTTAATTGTCAAAAAATAGCTTTCTCGCATGACTGTGCAACTGTGCAAAATGATTGACAGGAAGAAAGTACATAAAAGTGTTTGGACTGGATAAACAAGGAATATGACATGTGACATCAATCAATCAATCAACCATAAATCAATCAATCAATAATTTTTTCTTTCTTTCTTTCTTTCTTTGCTGTTTACTATGGAAGCCCGTTTCCAACATGGAAAGAAAAAAAGGGTATTGCAACTTTTTATCTCACAATTCTGAGATGCTCGAGATACAAGAAATTGTTTTCTTAGAATTGTAAGATACAGACTCAAATATTAAATAAGAATTATCCCTTTTTCTTGCAATTCTGATTTACATTTTGCAATTCTGACATTTTTAAAACTTTTTTTTTTGTTGGGGAATTCAGAATTCAAATCTTTTAAATGTAATTAAATTAATTAATTAACTAACTAATTATTATTTTTTTAATTGTGACTCTTTATCTGATAAATTTAGAATTTTTTTTTTTTTTTTTTTTTTTTTAGTTTTTTTTGTTATATATCACAATTCTGACTTTTCTTCTCAGAGTTACCATTTGACAATTCAGTGTTTATGTCTCGGAATTAGTTTATATGTGGCAATCTTAGTATTTTTATTACTTATAAATTACTAATTAGAAATTGATTATTTCAGGCAGAAACAGGCTTCCGTAGACCAGGACTGTCAGATATACAGTCCATTTCTAAGATGTATATGTATTTTATTGTGTACTTTAAGTATTTACGTGATATTTGTCATGAGTCATTATCTGCATGCTACTCCAAGAATAAGGTATTTGCATAACACTGCATAATCTACTTCTAAACTAAGGGGCCGTTTACACGACAACGTTTTCAGCCAAAAACGGGAAACTTTTTATGCGTTTTGACTGTTCGTTTACACAACAACGGCGTTTTGGGGACTGAAAATGCATATTTAAAAAAAAAACGGGTTTCAAAGTGCAAGTTTTAGAAAACGCCACCGTTATCATTTCCGTGTGAACACCCAAAACGGTGACGTCATGCACGTGCGTAGTACGTGTTGGGTATGCAGACATGCGCAGTACGTGTCGATTTTAAAGGCAAGCGCGATCAAACATACACAACAATGGCGGAGTATATGGTACTTTTGTTGCTGCTCGAGTTTTCAAACGCTTCTTCAGCAAAGTGTGGATTTACTTCACCAATATTACAACCAACAGCGGAGATGCATCATATACATCATATAATCATCACTTCCCTACAGGTACTGTTTACTAACATGGTGACAGCGCCAACTACTGGCCTGGCATACGTAATATTTACATATTTTTTAGTGTTTTCACGGATATGTGTAAACGCGAATTGTTTTGAAAACGTTGTCGTGTATACGTGAAACTTTTTAAAAACGCAAGGGAAAAACGTTTCCGTTTTTGACTACATCGTTGTCGTGTAAACGTAGCATAACTCACCGCTGTGCTCTCAGAGCTGGCCTGACTGGGACAGCCGAAGAGTTCCCGTCGCAGAAGATTCCCATCGTACTCCAGGAACGTCAAGTAAAGATTACGGAAAAACTCCACGTGCTTGTTTTTTACCCTCAGCTTTTTAGGAGAGTTCCAGTGAATGACCTGCAGGAGGAAATAATCAAACTGAGCAACAAACAACTTCAAAGACATAATTTCCATACTAAAATGGAAATTTGACAGGAAATGAATGTGACTGTTGGGCGAACATTTGCATTAGAGACAATTTGTAAAAGAAACACAGTGAATTTGGCAAAGCCTGAACCAATTAAGGGCCCCTTTGAGCAAATCGTTAGTCTTAATTCCTCTGGGTTAAATTGGTCGTTTATACCCTAAAAAATTCTTCAAATATAGTGTTACCTTTAGATCTGACACCTCGGTGTAGCACTGTTCAGAGCGAGTGTGATCCGATAACTGTACGTTCCAGAAGCACGGCAGCTGATGTACCAGAACTGGGTTCTGTTTTATGAATGCATTGAATATGTCCTGTGAACATAAAACAATAATATGACACACTTGTTGCATTTCACAACATTATTCAGGCATGGTTAGCTCACATTTCATCATTATTTAGACTACTGTTGTGCAAGGCACAATCTCCTAAGGCCTATGAAACCAATTCTTCTTCTAAAGTGTTTTGGTATTGTTCATGAAGGATATGGACCTGGTCTGCCAGGGATGTAGAAAGCATGCTCATTAGCTCTCTCTCTGCCGTCAGTCTCCACATCTGTTCCCAGCCGATCCGCCGCAGTCTCTCAATGTAGAGCAAAATCACACCTGCAGTTCCAAAAAGAAAGACCTGTTGTCAAACGGAGCCCAATGCAAACTATTGCCTTTTTCATACTCAAATGAAATTCTCAGTGTGACATAAGCATTGTGCTCCATTCAGAAGTGATCATGCCTGGGTGCTCTTTCCTGCAAAAGCTGCACGAAAATCGATTGTACCTCAATTTGATATCTTTATATTTGATTTTACCCCATGAATAACTGGGGTAAAATCAAATCAACAACCAAACCAGCAAAAAAGCTTTTGAACTTTTTGACTCTACAAACAAATTTTAAATGCTTTTTAAATCTATTTATTCTTTAATTTACCATTTTTCAATTTAATGAGTAATTAATTTGTTTAGTATAATATTATATACACACTACCGGTCAAAAGTTTGGATAATTAGGGTTAGGGTTAGGGTTTCTGAAAGTCTCTTCTGCTCACCAATGCTGCATTTCTTTGATCAGAAATACAGTAAAAACAGTAATATTGCGAAATATTACTACAATTTTCAGTGCTCATGAAGCATTTCTTATTATGAATGTTGAAAACAGTTGTGCTGCTTCATATTTTTGTGGAAGCTGTGATACTCTATCATTCAAAAGTTTGGGTAAGTAAGAACCGAAATGAATGCTTTTATTCAGCAGGGATGCATTAAATTGATCAGAAGTTACAGTAAAAACATTTATAATGTTACATAAGATTTCTATTTCAAATAAATGCGGTTCTTTTAAACTTTCTCTTCATAAAAAGAATTCTGAAAATGTATCAAAGTTTCCACAAAAATATTAACCAGCAAAAACAGTTCTCAAAATTGATGATGATAATAATAATAATAAGAACCAGTATTTATAATAACTGATGCTGTAATAATTGCATATTAGAATGCTTTCTGAAAGCATGTGACACTGAAAACTCACAGGAATAAATTACATTTTAAAATATATTATTTTAGATTGCAATAATATTCACAATATTACTGATTTACTGGATTTTTATATCAAATAAATGCAGCCTCTGTGAGCATAAGAGACTTTTTGCAAAAACATTAAAAATTCATATTTATTCCAAACTTTCGACAGTGTATTTAGGGTATGTTCAGTTATTAAAACTGCACGCTTTTCCTCCTTTCATCCCTTTCTTTATTAGGCCCTGTCCACACGAACGCGGTTATTTTTAAAACCACATCTTTTTCTACGCGGTTAGGTCATTCGTCCACACGCAAACGCAGCACCAGGTCACTGAAACTGAACATTTTTGAAAACGCCTTCGAGTTTTTGGCTTGTGACGTTGGAGCCTGTGCTGTTATCTCCACCTACTGGAAACTTTTTCAGGCTTCTGATTGGCTAACATGGCTTTACGGTTGAGATTATATCGCCACCTGTTGGTTTGGCATGCTCTTGACAGTGCTTCATGGCATGCGTTTTCGTTTTCATGAGGACGGAGATTTTTAAAAACGGAAGAAGGAAAAACTCTATTAAAAATACCCGTGTACGTGTGGACATGGCCTTAGAATCACATATCACCAGGAACACCATCACACTAATTTGCTGTGTAATGCCAGCGGCTATAAAACAGCAAAGCTTTCTGCTGTTTGGAACACAGTGAAGTGGAAATGGAAGCTGCATATCCTCACCTGTGTTAAAGCCTCGTCCGAGGGCTGGCCAGGGTTTGTGATTTTTCCACAGATTACCGAGGTACCAATCGCTCTGATTCTCCACCAGACCAATCACCTGTTTCTCTGCAATCACAACGAACGCCAGTGTTAAATTACACTGTCCAGATGCTTTATACGACTCCTGAAGGAAAGCGGCTGATTACCTGTGAACTTCCGGAAGATGGCCCACAGCTCGGCGATGTCAGTGGCGAAGGTGATGTCTGTATCGAGGACAATGACCTTTGAAAGGTTGGACGGCAGAGCTTTAGTGAGTGTGAGCTTCATCAGGCCATAAATTCCTGAATAGTGTTTGTTTGGTATCCATGACACCTCCGACTAGGAGAATAAGAGAGAGACAAACACAGAAATCTGTGAGAAACCAGCAAAAGAGCACAACAGTGACTTTATCAGCCTTGGTTTTAGAGCTATTTTTCTCATTCTTTTTCTACCCAGAGAATTAATTTTTTCTACATAGAGAACTCATTCTTTATTCTTTAATACAGACTTCAATACAACTCAACCAGCTATATAAATTACAACATTACAATCTTAGAAAAGTGTTTGATATATTACCCACTGGAAAACCAACATTGCAAAACAGAATCAAATCAGCAACAATGATTATGTGTGTGTGTGTGTGTATATATATATATATACACACATACATACATACATACACTTTTAAACTGTATTTACGTTTGTGTATTTTTAAATACACATTTATTTATTTTTTATTTTTACTTTTTACTTTTTATTAGAGAGAGAGAGAGAGAGAGAGAGAGAGAGAGAGAGAGAGAGAGAGAGATTACAAGTAAGATTACAAGTAAAATAAACTTTAAATTAATTTCAAATTCCAAAATTCAAATTCCAAAAATTAAATGTCAAAGTTCAAATTAAACATTTTACAACTGTTTAAATTTGGATTATTTCATTTCAGGCCAAAGTGAATATATGTTAAAAATAAATCTATTTTATATATAAAAAATTGATTCTAAATGTAAAACACAATCAATTTGTGCTCCAAAATATGTCAACAATATAATATTAATAGTATTTATTTTTAGTTAAAGGTTTAGTAAATATATATATATATATATATATATATAGAGAGAGAGAGAGAGAGAGAGAGAGAGAGAGATAGATAGATAAAATATATATTTATTTTTGTCATAGATAAAGTGTCCTTGCTAAGATGAATGGAATTTTTATGTCTGGGAACCTGCTGTTGTTTGTTCTGCTCAATAGCTGAGAAAAAATAAATCTATATATTTTTATCAAGTATTACAGTATTTTACCACACACAACTGTATTGATATTCTTAAGTGATGAATGTAAGAGAAAATCAGTAAAAGACTGCAATCACATTATTATTGTACTGGGACCCAGATATTGATATAATAATAATAATAATAATAATAATAATAATGTACACAGAATGAAAACATGTATTCCTGGGTGTAGCGACTATTAAAACTAATTACATATTATACCTGACTAGAATATAGTTTTCAGATTGTTCTTAAAACCCTGCATGTGTTCACTATCACCTACCAGAGGCGCTCATTGTGCTCTTTGCTTCTGAACTGTATTCTGCAGTTATAGCATCATCTGCACCCATGGAAATAACCCTCTACAGTTCTTATTGTACGCTTCATCTTTTCAGCATACATCCTTAATGACCTGAGCTCAGGTTTAATAATAATCTGCCGGAGAGGGGTTGATTGAAAAAGACTGGATTTCCTACAGCTTAGCTTTCATATACTCAGGAGAGCAAAGAGGTCTCTATGCACAGCGGAGACACAGAATGTAAAATCCGCGTGATTAGAGACGGCTCCGAGCCAAACAGCTGACAATCAGAGGTGAATGCAGTGCGGGAAGGGGACGGGAGCACAAAACGGGACAAGAACGAATGTATTTGTGTTATTGTGCATGTGAGAGCGTGCATGCATTCATGTGAGTGTCCTTGAGTGTGCAGTGTAATGTAAACTAGAATGCGCTCTCCTAGAAAATGTGTGCATGTGTGTGTGTAGAGGAGGAGGCATGCTCTTTGATTGTCACTTCGCTCTTTCAGCGTACCATGCACTGCATAAAAAAATTTCACAACACAGTGAATAATTCAGCGCCACATCAAAGGCTGCTCTCACATGCCAAGTTGTAAAAAAAGAGGCGCACTGTCACTTTAAATATATGAACAGAAATGAATAATTCTGTGTTTTCTCTCTCCCACTGGAGCGTGAAAGAGTTTTCCAAGAGCGAAAGCTCTTGAGATCACTGGAGTGTAAACAACCTCAATGTTTCCACTATTACAGACAAGCCATACTGTCCCAAGGGGACCTTTGCCCCCTCATTACAATCCATAAGCGCGTGTGACACGTCTTTCATTCCAGTTGTTTGTGCCTGAAAGAGCTCAGAGAGGATTGTGATCGGCATCATTCTTCAGACTTGTCATTGTCACCTGCATCGTTTCAAAGCTATCGCTGCTTATGACCTCCCATTAAACCTCTATTATGGTGCTCTGTGACATGGTCATTATCTCTGGGTCAAAGGGCAATTTTGGAGTCATGGGAGCATGATGAGGCAAGTGCTTACTTTGAGTTCATCAGCGTCATAGAAGCTGACTTGCACGGACGGTACCATCCACGACTGGAACAGAGTGCTGAGGATCTGATTGGCCACTGTATCTGTGATGAAATGAAAGTGAAGTGGGTTTCTCCTGAAAAGAGAGATGTGGACATGTTGACATGTTAGGTTTTATATGAATGCATCAAGCAAAGATGCTAAGGTG